CCCTTACTTGTAGTAAACCACTTTGTGAAGCCCCAACAGCATACAGTGTATACGGACCTCGCACGAGCCGGGTTGGTGCAAAAAGCTTGCACTGAGAAAAGTGGGCGTGGGTGCACACGCACCGCAGGGTTATATAGATTTTAAAAAAATGAATTTATACTCAAAAATGGTCCCAACATTTTTGGTTAAACGTTCTTCCCGGATAGCGTAATGGATTCTTAACTAAGAGGTGCGGGTCTCATGTTTGTTAAAATCTCTAATTTTTTGAAAACTGCAAAAGTTCAAAATTTTCAACGTCTTACTACAACAACAATATTGAAGTTAGACATTATTCAACTATTCTGTCGACGTTTTCCGCTACAGCTTTACAATTCATGCTCTACAACGTAAGTAGAGTGAGAGAAAGTAGTAAATGATGTTGCGAATAAAATTATATGTGAAATCAGAAGTCTTTGACAATAAAATGTCCTGTAGAAGAAATGGATTTAAAGAACTCTATTTTCATAAGATATAACGACATATTCGTAGGCGAGACCCCTTTTTTTGAAACTGCAATATACTTGATTGATTAGTGATTCCGGACGCATCAACTGCTAAGATATTTTGTCACGTAATTACTGGGCATGTTTTCTTCGCAAGAGGTGGAGGTGATCTTCCTCCACTGACTGGCGAGATCCGGCGCCGACCTAAGTAGGAAAGCTCGAAGTTCCTGACTGATTTCCCGACAAGTGTGATAGTGTAGTGCATGTAAGTGTAAGTATGTAAGAAAGGGGTGAGAAGAGATCAAGACAGAGAAAGGAAAGGTCCGTATTCCGTTTGTTAGGGTACTCCTTCGGTATTTGTCTGGTATTGATAAAAAAAACGGAAAACCACCGATCAGAGCAGCCGGCCGCTAGGTCCTCCAGACGGAGGTGCTTAGTTCAACCGAGCTGTGTGTTGACTCCTTGTGTTGAAATTCCTGCCACCGTCGAGACTGGAACCTAGGACTTCTTAACCAGATACAGTGCAGTGACATACGACATGCCCTGTGTCACCTTTGTCGTAAATCCACGCTAAACTTTGAATAAGGAAACCAAAACAACTTTGGAAACTCTGAATTTCTAAATAATAAGAATCCTCTTTTCAGTTCATTTTCAAAAGGGGCAGTCAAGTAGACGATATCAAAACTGAAATTTGAAGTAGCCTCTCCTCTCTTATTCAATGCCGTTTTATTTTAAATCATTATGTTTTCGCAAACTGTGTTGCCATTTCTCAGAACGTATTCGACGCGATCATGTTTAAAATGTATTTGGCAAGTTAACACAACGGCGTTTTCTGATTTAAACTTGGGGTGAATTGGTATTCCTTGAGTTAGAAGCACGGTGGAAAGAGATGGGTGAGCTTTTGCGCATCATATCCGACTTTAGCTAATGAGATTTCGGTACCAGTTTGAGTCACAATGTTAACGGGAATTTTAAATGCCACCAGATACCCAAATTATCACCTTGTCATTCACACAGATAAAAGAAGCAGTATAACATATTGCATTTTTTATTTTAATTACATCTTTAGTTATTGTTCTTTTTTGTTGAAACTTTTCTTTCTATTCATATTCAAGGCATTTTTATTTTACTGAATATTAGAGCACGTTTTCAAAGCATCATTTTACAGAAAGGAGTGACTGCTCAGCTGCCGCGGCGCTGGAAAACGTCTCTGCATTACAAATTTTGTGTCATTGGAGAGGTTATTTGGGGAAATTCCGTAGTACTGCTGGGGAAAGAGATCACACCACATCTGGCAATCCTGATGGGTCAGCAACACTCCCTTGATGATTAAATTGACTTTCTGGTGAGTTACCTGCGTTTGATCTGCGTTTTTTGAATCGTTTCTTTGGAGTTAATTTTTTTCTTATTGCCACCGACATTGTTCCAAAACAAGTACACAGTTATACTGTGGTATTGCTGTCTCTAATATAACTTGTATTATTAATTATAAATCTAATGTCGCAGAACAATCGTGAATATTACTGTATGAATGCGTATTGCGTCTTGTGAGAATGTATGTTTCTGCAGTACTTTTTTACTGTAGTTTTAAAACCAAATTTACAGCATTTTCCCCTTGCTTATCTATTAAATCAATACGCATATTAACGTAATTAAATACATTATTTACGTTGTAGATGTTGAGCTCTCAACCTGTGTTGTGGTGAAGTTTTGGGGTTCTCTTTTACTTTAAAACTATAGTAAGAATATTAAAGAAATTCTGTAAAGGTTGAGGAACTTTCTGAGGAGAATACACCGACGTACTGATTTAAAACTGCTTTATGGTTAATTTATCTCCTGACATTAAATTTATCATATTAACGATTAAGTAACAGGTCTTAATAATTTAGATTCATTTTTAGACTACTTCAAGAACTTTCAAAAACACTTGATCCAATGTATAAAAAAAGCAAAATATAGGCTATCACAATTCTTGCATATCTCCTATGTTCTGTGGCTCGTTTCTATCAAAAAATCGATTGAAACCAAAAGGTCTGTCTGTCCGTCGATCTGTGGTTAAAGCAGCGCGAAACCCTTTCGGCTGATTTTCTTCAAAATTGATGTTTGTCAATCGATTTGAATGAACTCGAGGTGCTCTGAGTTTGAAACTGATATTTTAATTTTAGGAAGCACTGTAAATGAATTCACAAAATACGGTACTAAAATTTCAGATCTTGAAATAAGTTCGTGAGATATTATCAAAATGTTCTCAAAAATTTCTCAAACTTTTCTTTAAATATCTTGTAAGAACAGAGTGAATACACTTTTAAAGAAAATTTAAAAGGCCAATTTTCACTGTTAACTCTGAATTTACGAAAATTAAAAAAAATTTCAAATTCTTGTAGTGTTAGTACTAAATGTACTGTATAAGATGAAATAAACGCTATTTTTTGTATTGTTTTACTTTCGCCCAACGGATTAGAGAGAAAGTTATGTAGTGCTTTGAAAACTCAAACACTCTCATACTTTCTGTAAGCGTAAAATTCCGCAAGATTCTAGTTCTACCATTAGGGGTTCGAAGAAATGAAGAAAAAGGGGAAGATATCCTTTAAGTACTAATATATAGTATCTGGAAAGAGAGTAGGTCAAAATCAAAAAGCTAGTCCAGAGTATAGAAATTAGAAAATTATCTGATACGAGAAAATCTGTGTTATTGTAGCTCAACTAATTACATTTGTGGTAATCTCTTTAAGTAACAGCTGTAATTTCCCATTTTGTGTTTTTAAACGTGTTTTTATTTTCTAGCGGATTTTTCGAGGCCAAAGAAGTTGAAAAAATCATAAGATCTAAACTTCTTACTGAATTTCGCCTATGAAACATTTTTTGGGACGCGAATTGGTCGTCTAGGACCACACGGACATACATCTGCACTTACTGACGCTCAGTAACATTTATCCCGTGGCAAATGTATGTGACTCCTTTTAGGGGGATCAGCATTATGCTGAATACAATGTTTATACCCCAGGGTTGTTAGTTCTGGGAGGATGGAAAATGGAATGGTGATGATAATGAAGGATGAATGAACGATACACACTTTCAGATATACACAAACACACCCACGGGTCGGGACTCGAACCCTCGATCTTCCTCGTTTATTATCGCCACGGCACTACTGCCTTAGTAATATCGGTTATTCGGATAGGCTTCGCCTATATAATAATATTATTTTTCTGACGAAAAGATAAAATATTGATACAGAGCAATTACACATTTTACTTTCTCCGGGTCGAAAGTAAAGGTGATAAAATATTGCTTATCATGAACGTTTCTTATAAATTGTGTTTGAAGAAGCGCTGTGTGTAAACATACCATTTATATTTACATACATATAGCGTAGTCTCGTCGGCGCCAACGGTTCTTCATGTACGACGATTCGTAGATCAATTAATGTCAATTATTAAAGCACTTTGACTATAAACCAACACAGACATTCAGAAAATACAAAATTTGAATCAAGCAAGTTTCTCGTATGGTCGTTGAAGAGCCTGCGTTATAACATTGTTGGCGTCATGTATGTACTTGCTTTAGCGTTTGCGGCACCAACTTTTGAGTGACAGGCGTACTTCGTGGTGTACGTTAGATTTGATTGCTAATATAATTGAGTAAATATTGAAATAAAAAAAGGTTACAGCGTTTTGGTTACTAGTTTGTTGACTCTCTGAAGCATTTTGGAATGGCATTTGTAGAGTTGAAGAAATCTAATATCATACCTCACACTCTTTGAATTTAGAGTACAATTGAGAGAAAAAAGGTGAAATCGTTGTTAACCTCTTTATCAAAGAAATTATTAGTCACTTTTTCCATTAACGCAAGGACATTTTTTAATCCTTAATCGAAAAACAAATTTCCCATTAAGAATATTTTACTCACAAAAACATTGTGTGTGTTTAAAGAAGTCTATGAACAACACAAAAGAGGACAGGTTTTGTGAAAAGGTACCGCATTTAACAGACTTACATAGAAGGTAGTCTAATTTTTACTCAGCTGATGGCAAGATGTATCTGAGATGCAGATGAAATGAGCTCATATCTAATTTAAACGCGAAGTTTTCTAGATTGTAAAATAAATGACGATAAAGGGAACGTCACTTCTGTTTTTAGTAACGTTTCATAGATTAAACGTACTATACTTAGAATACTAATTTAATGCAAGGTAAAGAACTGTTTTTACGTATATTACTTAAGGCGGCACATCCTTTAGAAAGAACGTTAAGTTATACATGAACATTCTGAGGAAGGAACTCTACGGATTGATAAACAAAACGTGTAACCTAAATTAAATTTATATCACAGATATTGTTATTTACGTTTGAAAACATTATGCGATAGTATTAGTTCATTTTAGTACCAACGTCTTCATTTCTGTGCTTAGGATGATGGATACGCGTTGTGTAAATGTAAGATGACACTTGACCAATGATACACACGTAAGCTATTCTTGACATACATGTATTTCCCTCACCAAGCATTGCTACACAGAGTTCTATTCGTCTTCGGTCTTACTTAGAACTTCGAAGGTAATTATGAATCCAATACCTTCTAAGTCACAATCCGAATCCATATTGAAAACCATTTGATACGTGGCTTCTGCGAAATCTTGTGGGAGTGACCTTGGGAACAAGCAAACTCGATCAAAGTATATTTCCTGAAACAATAACACAATATTAGAAGCAAATAATATGTAAAATTATTATAATATATTGTATTTGATCTCGAAAAAAACAACAACACTGGATGCCTAAATAAACTGAAACAACTACAATAACCACTTTCGACTTTTGTAATTAAATGGCTTTTCCGCCACGATAGCCATTTCCTCTAATTGTACCTTTAATTAAATTACTTTTCGACACTTGTACATGGAATACACAATTTCCATTTTCTCTTAATTAATTGAAAAGATGCAATTTGCAATACTTATACAACAGAATAGTGCTTAGCCACACGCGCAGTAAATGAAACACCAAGTGCTGCAAAATGAACAAAACACTGTACTGTTATAAAAGCAGTGTAGAATTATATTTCTGAATATCCAGTGAGGGAAAATAAAAAGGTAAGGATTGTCGAGCAGATGCTCCAGAATAATACAAAAAAATTGGTAGAAATTCTTGAACCTTTGCCTCTAAAATTTGAAGATTTGAAAAGTATGTTTCTCGCTAGATACTGGAGATACGAAACGCTTGCAGATTATACGTATAACTAAATTTTGTATTATTGGGGTGAATAAGAAGTTTTATTCAATAAATAAGCAAATAACACTTTATTTATCTATAGATACTACCATATATGTGGTGGTATGTGATAGTATATGACGAAATATTTACTATATCCACTGACATTAGGAATGGGTTCAAATACTCAGTATTCTGTGATAATTGATTTAAATTAATATAGATTGCTTCTACCGCCAAAGATGTAATTGAATTAGAATTCGATGATCTTCAGTGAACGGGATCTATGCAAGTAGCTGTTTCAAAATCAAGATTTGCAAGATATAATTGCGTGTAGAGATAGATAAAATTTCAATTTGCAACGTGATCAGAAGAAAAAGTTAATAAAGGTACAGCTACAATATCAGAAGGCGTTTCAGAAATATGCAACTCCCATTTGTAACTTCCAATTCGAAATCTAAAAAACAATGCAAAAAACATTTGTGGGTCATCAAAACTGTAAACCTGAAACCGTATTGGGAGTAAATAGATCATATATTTATATTATGAAAATCTCTACGAAAAAGTGTGTTTCATTTGTTCCCGTCCTCATTGCTTGTGTCAAAAACATAATCTGCAGGATCGCGAGGACCACTCGGTGGTCCAAACATCAATCTTAGAGTTTTCAGAACCTCAAGTTAGAGCTTAAAATGTTTGATTTCAACGAAGGATACAATGAAACAAAAATCATTATAATTCTAAGGGAGGGATCATAGTATTCGTACAATGATTCTCGCTAGTAGAGAACGCTACTGCTATTGGAAAAAGATGGCGCGTAAAAATCGAAATAAGAATCGATCGAGTCGTATTCGACTGCGGCAACAAATGTTGAAGATGGGAATCAGATGGTCGTTTCTGATCGAGTCGCCGAGAAGAGTAGCTTATGCATATCGGTGATTGTGAGCTAAAGGGAAAGAGTTGGAGAACTGAAACTGTCGTTGTATGAGATAAGCTGGATAACAAAATAGTCTTATAATATAAATAAATTACATCGTGATATAAAATGTGATGAATACATTATTAAAGATAGGATATGCAGAATGAATGAACTGAGAGGTGAACATGTGTTTGTAAGAGCATTTGTGAGCTCTTACAAATATCAACATTCACAACAACAAACCTCATATCAACGGAATTAATATTGCAGATTTCGTTTTGGGACATATTAGCCTATTACTTATTATTCATAAATCAGGCGAAAGATCTGCTGGATCGCCAGCAAAATTCGTATCATGGATTGATTGAATAATTGTTAGTGATTCCGGGAGCGTCAACGGACAATGTCATTGTTCCCGTAAGTGTAGTGCATGATCATCCTCGGTAGGTGGCGGTGATCTTACCCGTTACATGACGATATCCGGCGCAGACCTACCGTCCGATATCGGGGTTTTCCCAAACGAGATATCTCCCAGTAGCCTGGCACAGCCCCAGTCGGGACAAGCTCTAAGCTCCCGATCAGTCTCCCGACATGTGTGCCTGGGTAGTGCGTGTGAGTGTAAGTGTGTGTCTGTATGTATGGAGTGTGGATAAGACAAGAAAGATGAAGGAAAGATCGTGTGCGGTCCCTGGCACGTTCGTTAGGGTACTACTCCGGTATTCGCCTGGTGTTGATAGGAGAAACCACGGAAAACTATAGGCCTGAATACTCCTCCAGACAACGACTCAACTCGACGTATCTAACAAGCTGGTGTCGAAAAAATCCTGACCCTGTCGGGACTCGAAAGTAGAATGGTCAGATGCACTGCAGTGACATCACTTGATGCCCTGAGCCACCTCTCCCCGTTCGTGGCAGGGCAGACGAGGTGCGGCCATTGCTTCATGAAGAACTCATCATCATAGAGCGAAGTGAAGGCGCAGAAAAGTCCATCATAAAAGGAGGTATACGATTTAGAATTAGCCAACATCATCGATACTGTACGTAACAGGGTCAGGATTTTTTCGACACCAGCTTGTTAGATACGTCGAGTATATATATATATATATATATATATATATATATATATATATATATATGTAGTGCTAAGTGAGAAAACTTCGAAAATTAGAGTATAAGCTCTTAAGACAATTTTAAGCATTTTGTGTCTAATAAACTCTTTAGATATTCCGAATGCCTGAGCCGTAATAAGCATTCAAAAGTTGGTTTGAAAAAAATACTTTCTAGACAAAAATTTGTATTGCAGAAATATAAACACTCCAGAAACATAAATTGTTTATTATTTACAAAACATGTTCAAAAACAAAAATTAACGCAGAAATAAAAAAGCAGTCGAATTATGTAAATTCTGTACTTTGTTACTTCCTGTTTCTGCAATGCAAATGTTTGTCTCAAAAAGTTTAGTAACTTGTTCTAAGTTAATTTCAATCCAATAAATCCTTTAGAATAGACTTTTCTCAATTATATTACTTCCAAAGTGACGCATCTCTATGTATATTTGTCTTCTTGTTTTACTTATATTTTTAAGTCATTTCTCCATCATGTTGCCAAACACCGTATTCAAAAATTGTTTTTCTACTATGTTAAACGAATCTGGAAACGCACTGACCCCGTTTGTATGGAATATTGAATGTATATACTTTCCATTCCCAAAAAATGTTTAATGCAGACTAGTAACTTTGTAAATTAGCTCTTTATTTGTCTTTGTATTGTGGCAAGTTCCACGTTTAGTTATTATGTCACCGGATAAAGTTGATGTGGGGTCATTAACCCATGACCAGACTGTCGAACTGTAAATATGTAATCGTGTTCCTTTCTTTTCCCAAAAAAGACAATTTAAAAATACGTCAATTAAAACTAAATTAGAGTTTTTTGGATTATATTAAGTACTCACTTCACACTTATTTGTATTCGATTCAAAAACATAATCATCATTAGGTTCACCCTTATTGCATTTGATGGCACAATTTAATGGAGAAAATAGTGGAGTAAATTTGTTAATAAAGTCTGACCAGGGAAGATTGTTCTCGACGATAATATCCCATTTCTGACTTGTCTTCTTTTGAACGAAGAAATGAACCTGAAAAAATAAAAAAAATATTTTAAATAGTTACATAATGTTACATCTAATATAATTTTCTGTCAAAAACGTGTATTCCTAATATTTTGGATATACAAAAATCTTTTCACAGCTGTTCTGGCCACTATCACTCTAACAATATATTTCAGCTTACATTTTAGTTCGTTTTCATTTTAGATCTTAGTATTAAATAGAGAGAGTCATTTGAGGTGGGAAAACCCGCCACACTTTTCTTTTCCAATTAAATGAAAAAAGTGTTTCAAATACCATTTCAGGCACTAATGACGCGAAATCTACTCGTTTTTCAAAAAAATTGTGCACAATTTTAATTAAAAACTACTTCTATAAAAGAGATTTTGGCTAAATCTTGATCTTCAGTTTTGTAGTTTTGAAATATTAATGAATTTTTTTCGAAAGTTCGGAGTGTTCGCCGAAAATAGTACTAAAACCGTATTTTTTTTAGTTCCTTGATACATATGAGAAGAAAATTTGAAAGAAATAATTGGAGCGGTGTTTGGAGAAAAAGTTAAATTGTGTTTTATTTGTCTTTATTTTGAACAAAATTACACGAAATCTACTCATATTTTCAAAAAATTAAACATCAATTAAGTTCAAGAGGTTTTAATGATCAGATTTCTTTCTAAAATAGCTCCATCTTTAATATTATACTTGTAGGAAGATGTTTGTACTTTTGCTTTGAACTCGGATAGCGTAAATGGTACGAGAATCGTGGATGTCTGATGTTCGTTTTTCGATGATTTCAAAAGTGCAAGGTTCTGGGGCGTCTTCTTACAATTATATGTTTGAAGGTGGAGATTTTTTCTTGGATTAACTCTGTTCTTTAAAGACAAATTTGCGAAAATATGTGTAGTTTTCAAGTAATTTTGCGCATAATATATGCAATTTCATTTATTAAACAATTTATTTCTCAAAATCGCTCATTTAAAAAAAATCGCCTTACGTGTATCAATGGACGGTAGAAAATATGGCGGTGGTCACATTTTCGGCAAAGTCTCCGTTTTTTTTCAATAATTTAAAAGAAGTTAACATTTCAAAACTGCAAAATCGAAGATATAAGTTTTTGCGTTGTAGTCTGTTTAAAACATCAGTTCTTAAAAAAAGGTTATGTACAATTTTTTGAAGTAAAGGTGGTTTTCGCGTAATTTGTGCTTGAAATTAATGCAAATAAAAAAGTTTTCTCAAATGTTTGCAAAAAAAATGTCCTTGGGTTGAAGAAGGGACCCGTAAAAGAATGTCTCATTTTTATTGAACTTTCAGAAATTTCGAAAATTGCAAGTCTACAAATAATGCCAGAAAATATGTGCTGTTGTGGCCCAACTAGTTGATAATTATTTTAGTGATTCAATTTATTTTTTGTTAGTGCATAGTCAAAACATGTAATACAGTCCATAATCAGTTATGTTAATGATCTTAATAAAAATAATATTATAACCAAATACTGTTATAATTTTGACATGCGGATTTTACAATATAATTTTTCTTTTCTGTATTTTCTTGGGTACCCCCTAACGTATATATCATAAACATATAAACATAACGTCAAGACGTCATCCTACAGACGTATGCATTATATACTTCATAATTCCTTTTCCAAAGGAAAGAATTAAAAATAAATTTGGTCTTCCTTTTCAAGAAGTAGACTGATTGATGAAGGATAACTTCCAAAAACATTGATACTCTACACTTTCACTTTGAATGTAATTAAAAAGTACTCACCATATTTGAGGAGAGAGGGAAGTCTAAATTGACAACTCCAGAAACACAGAACTCTTCATCCAGCTCGAAGTCGCTATCCGCAGAACCATTTGTATATACTTGTCTTATAATGGACTTGAACTGAAAGAAAGAAATACTATTAAAGGTAATGTAAAAATTCCATATCATATTAATTTAACAATAAATTAATAAAGTATATTTGATTACATGAGATGCGCAAAGAGGGGTCTGTCAGTGTGTGTCGGCATTTGTCCTACAAATCAGAACAAATTCGTTAATATTTGTCACTATGAAGTGCCAAGCACACTACACAAGATTGGCACATGCAATGAAGATCAACAGTTTCAGTTTTGAATGCTAAACGAAATTGTCATGCTTCTTTTTGAACTCCAAAAGTTTTTTCAAATATTCGGCAAAAAATTACTGCAAGCTCCAAAAAATCAGTTAGGAAATTATCACCATAGATTGGTATTAAAAGAACTTGCCATCATCTGTAAGTTGCATTAAGTACACTTCTAACCGTACCGGTGTTAATGAATACAGACATTACGTCCTGCAGATAAAGAGAAACTTATTAAGTATTGTGAGTGATTTATAGGTAATTTTGTTTTTTTATCCATTCTTGGTAGATTTATGGAAAGGTATATTTTGTCTACCACCAACTCACACAGAATATTAGAATATTCTCAACTCCCATTTTCACCTAGTATACCTCTCGATTCAACATAATTCACATTATTCTTGTCCATTCAATATTGAACTACTTATTTTTTTGAACATGAAAGCTAGGAAAATTAATAATATTGACGAGTGGTTAAAAAGACATTTGTAGGGTCGACGATTTCTTGAAATACTTTGGTGAAGTTGACGTAACCGAATTCAGGCACGTCAACTATCAGGGTTATTAGTCTCGTACGTGTAATGTATGTTTTTTGCTCTGGAAGTGGCAATGATCTCTCCCCCGCTGTATGGCGATATCCGGCGGCGATCTACCGTCGGTTTTCCTCAACTAGGTATCTCCCACCATCAGGGGCACTGCCCCAGCCGCGACAAGCTCTTTGGATGTGACGGTCTCCCGGCCTGTGTGGTAGTGTAGGGCGTGTTAGTGTAGGTGTGTGTGTGTGTGTGTGTGTGTGTGTAAGGGTGATGATAGGACAAGGAAGAGGAAGGTCAGATCGCGCATGGACCTTGGTCCGTTTTTTAGGGTACTGCTCCGGCATTCGCCTGGTGTTGATCGGAGAACAACTGATCAGAGCAGCCAGCCGCTAGAATTCTCCTCCAGACAGCGACTGAATGCGACTTAGCTTAAAGTTTCGAGTCCAGTTCTCTTTTCACTCATAAAGAGCGATGAAGCATGGTTCCATCTTTCTGGCCGTGTGAATTCTCAAAATGGTTAGAGTTCTTAACGTAGCCGCTAAAATGTGCTTTTCTACAGCACTCAGAATTTTTTCATCGGAGAAACACGGGCTCGTTTTAGGTGGGACACACAATATATTAGTTCTTCGTTTTATACAGGTAACTGAGAATAACGTTACAAAATTCTAGGAAATGTAGAGGGGACAAAAATGATCAATTCTGGTCAAGTAATACATATAGCGCGTCCGAGTTTAAGAATGAAGTACAGGGACCCACGGGATATTCTTAAAAAAACCTCCCGTTTTAAGGTTTCAAAACTGATTTACATCCTCATTAACATAAATTTGCATTACGATAATTAAATTTGTAAAATTCGAATACATTATAGAATATTAAAAACAATTTGTGGCAAATATCTTTAGAATTTATTATTTTTTTGTGGGAAGGTATACGTACGAGTGTTGAATCAGCATCACGCCACATTTGGCATCGATGTCGTCATTAGAGACCGTACTTCATTCTTAACTTCGGACGTACCATAGTTAGAAATTCCATGTAAATGTGTTACACATGTGACATTTGCGCCTGATTCTAGGCAACTCTTCGCACAGAAGTGTTGTGCACATCACATTCTGGCGCAGTCAAGGAGATTTCATTTCGTTATTTTTTAAGTGTTAAAAATATTATTATAATATAATATTTATTATTATAATTAATATAAATATTTATTTATTTATTTATTTATTTATTTATTTATTTATTTATTTATTTATTTATTTATTTATTTATTTATTTGTTCTTAGGTAAATTACCAATTATGTTAATTATACACCTCAACTATTTCATTCCACATTTAATTGCACATCGAGTGTCTGTATTAAAATTTCACATTATTATACCTCTTATGTTACGTTCGCCTTGACTCCCAGGCCAAGAATTCGCCGTGACAGTCTTGTTATTTGTGTTTCCATCTCTAAAGCATGAGAGGGGAAAAGTGACGGGGGCGAAGTACTCTTATCATTTTCTCTCGGGGGTAGGGGATCTGACTGTTCATTTAAGCCTGCTGAACGCCTGTGCACGACGTTCTTTAACTGATTGATTGATTGGTGATACCGGAAACGTAAACATTCTAAACCATTAGTCCCATAGGTGTAGAGAATTTGTTCCTCAGGTGATGAAATCCGGCACTAACCTACCGTCGACCAACGGGGTTCCCCCAATCAGTAATCTCCTACCAGCGGGGCAGCATCCCTGCCGGGGCAAGCTCTAAGCTCCCGACATGAGTGGCAGTGTAGTGCATATGTAAGTAAGGGGGTTCGGATAGGACAAGGAATATGAAGGAGAGATACGCGCGGTGCGTTCCCGTTTGATAGAGGACTGCTCCAGCATTTACCTGCTACTAATCAGAGCAATCACGGAAATCTATCGGACAGAGCAACCAGGCACTAGAATTCTCCTCCAAGCAGTGGCTGAATTCGACCTCGCCTTTTAACATCTGTTGAATATCTAGCCACCTCGGGGACTGAAATCCTAGAACTTCTCGGTCAGAAATACAGCAGTAACATCAGTTGATGCCCTGAGCCACTTCATTTGGTGAAAGTTTATTGACATATACGAGTAGTACTCGAAGGTGCAAATATCACGTGTGTAAATTATTTATATGAAGTTTTTTTTCTATGCCTGAATGTTTATTGACAGAATGATCATTTTCGACCACTCTGCATGCCTTAGAAACTGGTGATAGTTTAAAGTATCTGCATATTAATCTACTGTGTTTTGAACGTAAACCTTAGATGCTGGGTTTGCAGAAGTTTAAATGGTCTATCGGTGATTGTGGTAGTGGTGACGAAAATTTAATTTCTACAGAAATGCTTATTATTGCATGCATAGGGGAAGAACTACATCTATCGATGTCATGTTCTTCATTTAATGCACTTATTTATAAATTTAAAAAAAACTACTATATTTCACGGTTCAACTAATTTTAACTTTGTGTCTTGCGAGATGAAAGTACGTGTACGTCGGTGGTTAATGATAATCCTTGCAGAAGTCACCAGCAGTTATCCGCCAAAAGGTGTGGTGACCACTTTCTCTTATATCGCCTTTCCATGACAGCGACATCTTAATAAAATCACTCACCACGTTCATCACTCACATATTGAAGATTAGATGGGAAGATATCCAAATAGGAATGAAGAAAACGTAGTTTGTGAGACATGATTCGCCTCACAACCTCACAATTGTCCAGCATGTATTCCATAAGTTCCCTAATTCTCAGACATTTCGTTTTCCATAGACACTGTGGCATTCATCTTTCAATGCAAGCCAAGTTGCCTTCTCAGTATCTGTCAGCAACTGCTCAAAGGTAACATCTTTAATCAAGTTATGGATTTGAGGCCTAATGAAAATTCCTTCTTTATTTTTTGCAGGACTAATTGCAAGAAATTAAGACAGAAAAATTGAAAACTCTGGCCATCTTTGTCCATTGGTTTCACAAAATTCTTCATAAAGCCCAATTTCACATGGAATGGTGGTAACTGCACACTGTTCTTGTTAATAAGAGATTCTTACGACTTTTTTCACAAAGATTGAACATTTCTCTCAAAGTCCACTCTTTGACTGCATAATGTTCTTTCCTTGCCCTTCTATCCTATTGGCACAAGAAACAGCAATATATTGTGAAACTAGTCTGCAATTCTAGAAGAAGTCTCAGAACTTGTGCTCACTTGTGCTTGAGATCACCACAAATGTTCCGTTTGTGATTTGAGTAGCCAATATACTGCAGGAGAAGCCTCATGTTTTCATAGGTTTGCTTCAACTAGTATCGAAGTTTTCTCGTAATCTTTATGTAAGAGCCTGGCTTTGAGACTAGTCTTCGAGGAATCTATAAATAGGCACCATTCTCTCCGGTTGTGAATCATTCCAAACGTTGTAAGCAGCCAGTTTATATCATTAAATTATATCAAACTTTATGTCACTGAGAAACGAGAAGGAATTTCGCTGTTCATTGCCATTGGAGGTTTTGGAACTGGGAGAGAATAAGAATGCGAAACTGGGCGCATATCAGATTTCAAATTTGGATAAGAAACTTTGTGTTATTATTTATTCGTTTTCGTTAAACCAAAGTTGCAATCTGTAATGTGGTCTCTAGGTTCTCTCCACAATTGGCAAATGACATAGATGGGAAGATTCCATGCAACCTGCCTCTCAAACAGCGGAAGCAACATAAGCAACAGTTACCCTCACCTACTTTTAATTCAAAATACTCCTCGGACGCCTTTTTGACGGGCGGAGAAATGGGAAGTCTTTTAGACTTAGTCATAAACTCGCCGCACAAAGATTTGGAGTATTAGAAGACTTCTTAGACATCAGTGAGTATAAGAAACAAAAGAACATGCACAAACGATATTCTTCATGAATAGATAAAGTGTGATCACACTGTCGCTTGACTATCTCGAAGTGACTATCTCCGCCTCCCCTCACTTCTCCCCAAACCAGTTGTTGATATTCCTAAGAAAACAGAATGTGAAAAGAAACGAGACAACATAAATAACGCAGACAATGGCAGATAAATTGCGTTTCTGGAAGGTTTAGGTGATAGAGAAAAATGGTTTTCACTTCTATTATTACGGCGTTGAACTACATAAAAATCACATATATTTGTTTTTTGGAAAATTTCATTGTCGCACATGTTTTCAGCACAAAGTATAATAATGTAAATATTAGACATTATATAATATCATTATATGTGAACTATTTTCATTGTCCGTAAATTGGAATCCAAATATCCAAATTTCTAAAGTCGTGATTCGCAGAGTGCATCATCTTGAAGTGAAGACAAATTCACTTTCATCAGATCACCTTTCTGTAAGCTCTTTAAATAAACGTTATTCGCTGGATGATTCATGTAAAAATTAATTCCTTTTGATATAATCTCTCTTCAAATTCCCGTTGACTTTCTCTTGATGCATTGGGCGAATGTGATTGGCTCATCCTTTTCTGCTGAACACGAAGTGAAGTTCCTCACTCTCCCAAACGTAGTATACATATTTCACGTTACAAAACAATTATAAAAATAATTACATATATTGTAATAATAATAATAATAATAATAATAATAATAACATGCTACGTTTCTCATTTACAATGTTCGCAGAAATTAAAAGAAAACAATGCAAACAATACCTCCAGTAATGAAAGAGGTGCCCGTGACTTTGTAAGATAATCAGAAGCTCGAAAATAATAAAAATGAAACAGTTTTATAAAGAAAAAAGGATATACTTGATTATGATATCCACACTATTGACATACTGCACGTATCGTCTAAATTCTCATACTCAATGCGTCACAACATACGGCAAACTCAAAATTGATTTTGTCTTACGTCACAATCAAAACTGTTCAATTGTTTTTTTAATTTCATGGGTACATTAAAGACTATAGACACCTCTGATAAAGCTGGAGGTTGCTTAGTTTTGCTCATATTCTGTGTACATTGGAAATTAGTAATATAGGAAAGATATTCCCTAAGATTATTTATTTATGCAATATTGCCATGGTTTCAATTAATTCGTTTTAGGATTTTGAGGCGTGAATTTTAAAATATTTATATTACTAGTAATTTCTCTAGTGAACCAAATCATATATTTAGATTTACGCGTGATATAATCTCATCCCTACAAAGTCCGTGAGCAGTTGCCTGAAGTCACTTTGGTTGGGACGTGGCTAGTTACAATTATGATAACGAAACATTAGAACTAAAAGGCAGATTGTAATGTCCTAACATATCGCCAAAACAGATCAGTTAAATGCTCTTAACATGTCTTAAAAATGCCCTAAAGTAAAAAAAAACGTAACAAAATGATCATAAACAGTTCAAATGAACAACTCAAACTGTTGGATATGTTACTGATGTAATCCTTTCATTCAAGTGAAGAATTCAAATTCAAACTTTTGAATTGACCGTTCTTTACGAGAAAATCTGTGACGTAAGTTATATTGAAATCGGCCAAACTTACAATGACGCTGATACGCGTCAAAAGAAATTCAGATTACATACTCAGAAGGACTGATATTACAATTTTTGAGCGAAGAAATCAAAAGGGTAATGAGTAATTTTGTGGAGAACATTTGTTGCATCTCGTAAAATTATTTGCAGCAATCACCATTAAAGTTATATTCAAATGGATGCAATAAGCGAAAAAGTCTTTAAACATGTAAAAAGTAAAAAATGATATATTTGTAGAAATGGGTGAAAAATGAAGAAAAAAACGCCATATAAAAATGGGAATTTGCTTTTGTCATAATATGCCTATACTAATAGTCATTGTTCTAACGTGAAAAGAAAAAAATGACCCTCATTAAAATCCGCCCCGTAAAGACTAATCAGAATACCTCAGGAGACCAGGCCCACCAACTGACATGTGAGTTGATTATGTTTGTATCACATAAAAAGGTTAATAGACATGACTCAACACCAGGGCATGAACTTGTAATATCAGTATTTTAATATTCTATTACATGTTAATGCCCCGAATTGTAAAAAAGTAGTTGAAACCTCATGACAGTATCATTATGAATAATAAAGAAAACTTTCCTAGAAATATAAGGACTTACTTTCTCTCAACAACAACAATAACAAATAATAATAATAATAATAATAATAATAATAATAATAAGAAGAAGAAGAAGAAGAAGAAGAAGAAGAAAATGACAAAAATTATATAATTAATTACGACTTTATTCTGAGTATGAATCTACTTACATTTCTCTTATCGTCTTCCTTCCTGATTTCCTTACACTCGGGGTTGTTTTCCCTGTCTTTGGCCGGGTTCTTGCAACCGCCATCAGATGCGCCGCCTCCGTGAGGTAAACACGCCACATGCACGAAGCAGGCGACTAGCGCCAAGCCCAAGACTTCTCCAAACCACATGACGAGCAGTGAATGAGCTGACGGCCGCCACCGCCACACTTAGATCGCCAACTAAAAGCTTGCATAGTTTTATATGACCAATGGGCAGATCACGAGTTCCTCTCCCAGAAACAGTATTGTTCACTCTCGCAAAAATGCTGTGAGCATTGATATCATCTGCTCTAATCGCAACAATGGCGACCCTTGTGTTCGTAACAAAAGTCATTGCATGAGCGGATATGGTTTTTGTAATCATGTCACCGCGTTCCTATGCCCATGGAAGCTTAGTTAGTTGAGGTCAACTTTATAAATTGGTCAGTGTGTGGATACTTTATGCTAGAGAATTTTTTTAGCTTTTGTTCTCTTGTCGCCTTATTCTGTTGAGGCACTAGTGGGCAAATATGTATTATCAGCTCAATGTGGCACCTGAGGCGGGTATTTTTGTGTTAAACATTTCTATTTCTGCCTGCAAAGCTCATAATAAAAAAAATGAAACACATTACTGTCACCGTGCGCTTCCTTGCTCAGTTACTTGAAAGTCTCAGTCAGTTACATGAAAAAGTGTCGATTAAAATACTAGTTTCGTTTTTTGTTTCATTGCAAAATGTTTAATTATCATCAATCCGTTGCAGTGATTCATGCAAATGAAGGAAATAGAGTACAGTAATTCATACCTTTTTATCAACGTACTTGTGGTTGCATTGAGACCTCGTATTACTATAATACATTCTTGCTGACGATGCTGCATACTACTACCTTTCGGTATCAATGAATGAATACTTCGTTGTCATTATAACAGCTTATTTATTATGTTTTACTTACATCATACGATTTCACGCTTTGCCTTCTTTATTGCATTTAATATTTACTTCATATTTCAAATAACTCTCTCTTACTTGTTTGTCTCCCCTGAAAACATATTTTCCACGATTCTGTAACAGTGTGTTTTCCAGAATTAATCCAGATTATTCCAAAGGGAACCGGTAAAGAATTGTATGTTCCCGTATGGATAATTTGGTTTCAATATATGAGCGGTCTGATGTACATCTTTGATCGTGAACTGTCCACAGTTCCCTATTAGCTAGGGAGGGTCAATGACTTATATGACTTCGACCTTGAAGATTAATATTTCACCCATGTGAGCTGACTGTATCCAAATAATTTGAGCCTTTACTTTCACCATGAATCCGCCGAGTGTGGTATCGTTTCCTTTTCCGAGAAAAAGTGTGCCCTCAAAATTGGGAACTAAAATATTTACCTCTTTGAAAGCATCTGTAACCTGGCTTTGGAGGTTGGAGTCGTTGATATGTAGGAGCTTCAGTGGGGACGGCGAAGCATGTGTGTCCGATCCGTTCGAATGCTCATCGAAGTTCATAGTATCGTAGGAATTGCGGAAAAAACCCTGTCTGGTGACTTATATTCCTTAGACTGCCATCTCTTCACAGGAAGACTTCTCACGAACAGAATTAGGTCAGCTTTATGTTATGTACGCATTACCTGACGTAAAGCTTTTTACACAAATCTTAAACGTTTATTCATTAAACCCTACTCATTAACGGAATAATTACTGTAATATCTTGTTGTTTAAGTTTTTCCTTTTAGCATTGTAAGATGTTGGAGTTTACGAGAAGTGCCAAGAAGCATGACACACACAAACATGGCATTCATTGTGACTGAACAACAACTTCATAAGACGGTAATTCGCGGGTTTTAGACAAGCCGTAGCCCTGATAGTTTTTTCTCATCTCCATGGCTTCAACTAACAATTCACTGTCACAAAGTAACCACTGCAGTAACAAAATAAACCTCCATACGGGTAATGCATTTGTTAATGAAGTTCTAGGAGAAATGTTTTGAGATCGAAATTTCTATTTACAAAAAACTTTTATTTTTGATCTAAAAGTTACTTAAAAAAAACAAACGTTTCAAGCAACAGTATAATAAGAGGCTTTATGATACTAATATCAAAACAATGAGAGGAAAAGTGTCAAACTAGCGTGAAACAGCTACAATCACTTCAATCGATAGACGCAGTCCAAATGTTTAAGGATCAGAAGTATGTTGGTTTTCTATGATGAAATGGTCCATGTAGAGGAATTTTGGCCAGTTGTATGTGAAGACGCTAACAAATTTTCCATGAGTCGTTATTTTGGTGAAAATGAATTTTTTGCTTACCCCTTATTCTCTCTAATATGTGAAAAATAGTACTGCTACACTAGCTTATGCTAATCATATACTTATTAATAGGAGGTGAATTTTTTTGGCCTAAAACATCACCAACATCTTCAATAACGTACTCTTAAAATGTTTGAAAAATGCTCCAAAACCAAAGAAAACTGACGTAAAAGTTTAATCAAAACCAGTTGAGATGAATAACTCAAGAAGTTGGATATATTACTGTTGTAATAGAGACTTCTTCATTTCGTTCAAGTGACCTCACCTTGCCAACGTTTGGTTTAGTCTTTTTTTTACAAGGAAAGCTCTGCCTTTAGTTATCCTGAAGTAGGTTGGACCGTTAGTGGCGCAGATCTGATAGCTGTCACGTTAGAATGTTAAATTATCATCACTAACGTGAGAAACTCCTAACGGCTGACATTACAATTACCAAGCGAAGAAATCGAAGAGGCTACTCAGGAGTTCTGTAGAAAACATTTGTTGCATCTCTTATGCATTATATGAAGAAAGTAGGTACCATAAAGTGGTATTAAAATTCATGAAATTAGCGAAAATTGCTTTAAAAATGACGGGGAAAAGAAAAAAAAAGACTTAGTTGTCGCAATCGACCAATAAGCCGAGGTGCCGACCTGGTTGGTCGTGATGGATTGGAGCGTGTACCGATTTACCGCTTCAATCCCGAGGGTCGCGGGTTCGAGTCCTACCTACGGTCCCTTGTCTATCATATATGTGTTTTCGAGGAGGGCCACTGGTTTCGCTGACCTCAAATTTTAGGAGACCGCAAGTGTGTTGGTGTCTATGGTATGGGTGAATATTCGACCCATCGGGCCGTAAAGAATAATCGGCTGTACGCTGGATAGAAGTCCCAGGAAGAAGAAAAAAATATTATTGTATGTACTAAAATACACTGTTGTAAAGTGAAAAGAAAAAATCTTTAAAATCCGATCTTATTAATGATTACACTATAATATTTCTGCTCTGATCTTACTAATACTTCAGTCATCACTTGTGAAACACTGAAGCAAAAAGAGATAGGAAGATTCAGATTGGCACATTTCTAGTATATTCATATGTAATAGTGTATACAAATTGCTGGAAATGTGCATATTAACGGCACGAGAGATATTTAAAAAAATGACAGTTGTGTTCTTTTGGAAAACAAGAGAGAAGAGCAAAATTAAATATAATAAACAGTGCAATTGACCTACTCGTTTAAAAATGTTTAAAGAAAAGATTTGGAGCCATTTTTGAGAAAAGGCGATTGAGGATTTCTAAAATGTGGAATTTTGAGCTTTTTTAACAAAAAACTGTTGAGTTTTCGAGGAAATTAAATGACTTAATTTAAAGCATATGTACTCACTAACACAATAATGTAAACAAATTGCGGCGATGTAAATATTATCAACATGAGAGAGAAGTCAAAAAAGTAAATTTTTGTAGTTTTTGAAAAAATAAAATAATAGAGCAATATGGTATTTATGCGTCTCATTGCGTACATTTAGCACTATACCTACCAAAAGTTTAAAGAAAAAGTGGAGCCGTGTCGAGAAAATCTTGTTTTTGAATTTTTTTTAAATGTACATATTTTACAAAATATTGATCGAAAATTAAACGTTTCAAAAACTCTACAAGATCTTATTGAAATAACTAAGCATGGAGAACATATTTAATTTGAAGGAAAATTTTCTATCTTCAATTTCGTAGTTTTAAGAAGGCACCGAAAAAATCAACAACTTTTCTAATGTCTCTGAGTCTTACGAAATGCGTTCTCAATTGTAGAACACTTCAGTAGAACGCATCCGGATTCTATAACGAGGCAATTAATCAAATGTTTCCTCCCTGTAAGTGAACCGTCTAATTTCTTATGTTTTTCCGTGAAAGAAAGGGTGAAAGTGGTAAAAGAGAAAGAAATGCATTAAAAATATAGTTTTTGTTTCAGTTGTAGTTTCCCAAAATCGCGTAATAAGGCGGCGAAAAATCTCCTTCGTACTCTGATTGAACATGGCTTTTTTCTCTGTATACATTCACTGATGTTCACTACAAATTCACCGGTCAGTTCTTCGTTTCACAATAAAAGTCAGTTTTACTATTTCCCAGCAATCTGTCATCATATTATTTCAAGAGATTTCGGAGGTCACCGCCTATTGTGACATATTGACCAGTGGCTTCCCGGACGTGTATATGGTCGGTGATGACAGCATGGAGATAATGAGTTATCATTGTTTATTCTTCGTATCATCTTCCGCACCTTTCGAGTGACGTTGTCTTGTAAAAAAAATTATCGAAGTAAAAAATGTATATATACTTTCCAATCTTCGTTGCGTGGGCGAGTTTATTTGATTGTATTCGTTACACTTAGTGATGAGCTGAAAAGAATGCGATTAACATTTTGGTAGGAATTCAAAATATATTTATGAAAACTGGCTCTATTATGCTATTATACCTGAAACAAAATGAAAACAGGCAAAAGAAACCGCCTTTATTGCTTCAATAATTTTATTTTTCATGACATTGTATATCATGGTCATGATACAATACAATATCATGGTATTGATACAATTCAGGAAGTTGTTAAAATTTGTAGAGAAAGTATTGGCCTTCATTCTTCCAGGAAGTGAATTGAAAGTATTTTCTAGACGTAAAACGTGCTGAAAAATAGTTTTTCATTTATTTGTAGTCGCATCGACATCTGAGGTCATTAGTGACTCAAAACTGCTACATTGATTTAACAATAGTTAATACTTAATTGCTAATTAATATAGGGTACATGTATGAGTGTAAAACTTACGTTTAACATATTTTGACCTCAGTTAACTGAGAATATTTGTTTTCTTTTTTTTGATAAT